AACTCAGAGACACGAAGAATTAGGCCCGGTGTGTCGGCAGAGATTTGCTCCGACTACCGCCTCGCAACCACACACCCGCATTTCCAAGAGACAGAGCCAAAACGCACGACAAATACAGTTGTTTTCACTATTTTATAGCGATTACTGCTAGATTTATCAAATCACCAACCAACAAGGGAAACGCTTAATTTTTTTGGTAAACAATAGATACATTTTATTCACCAGTTTTTGTTTATATTCAATAAACCTGTTAGAGTTATCAAGTGTTGTGCATTTTATTGAAGGAATTCTTATTCCAATCATGGTTTACGATGTTGTCCTTAGATTCAAAGAAACAAATTGCCACACTGCCATAGACAAGATTTACTCAATCTTGTTAACGATACACAACGTACATCGCGTCCATATTAGACTTCACCTTCAGTTATGGAAACCCGAAATCAACCTTATCGATTCGATCCACCGGCCCCAACCAAGGAGGTTAAAGAAAGCCGAATGACCCGCAATGTTGGTATTTCTCAACAAAGCTAAGGGAGAAGAGACTGGGAAAAAAGCGATTGATAGGGATAAGGGTTACAAATAAATAATAATTTTCCTCACCAAATAATCGATAAACAAATTAAACCTTAGAAAAATTAAGCGACAATAATAATAACAATAATAATAATGTTGATATTCCCTTTATAACGATAATATATTTTAATGCAAATATAAAAGACATTGTGAATATATATACAGTGGAACCTCAGTTCACAAATTTAATTCGTTCCTGAAGGCAGTTCGTAACTCGAAATGTTCGTAAACCGAAATTATTTTTCCCATAGGAATCTATGTGAAACGGATTTATCCGTTCTTGGACTTCCTAAATGATTGCTTATTTAAAATTTGACAACATGTCTTTGTTCATTCACAAAACCAACGAAAATCTGGCGGGAAAAAAGATAAACACGATACCAAACAGATAAAATATAGACGAAAACTTAATTTAATTTTTCCACACCTGTACCGGGTGGTAAAATCGATAAAGAAATTAAACCTTAGAAAAACTATGCAACAACAACAACAACACTAATAATAATAATAATAATAATAATGATAATAACAATAATGATAATAATACTGATTGATATTCTCTTTATAACGATAATATATTTAATGCAAATATAAAAGAGATTGCGAATGTATATACAGTGGAACCTCGGTTCACAAATTTAATTCGTTCCTGAAGGCAGTTCGTAACTCGAAAGGTACGTAAACCGAAACTATTTTCCCCATAGGAATCAATGGATCAATCCATTCATGGACCCCAGATGATTGCATATTTAAACTTTGACAACAGGACTTTGTGTATATATGGCGTGTATTTTTTTAAAATCACCATTCCAACGTAATGCAGATTTTGTTGCAGTTACAATAAGTTTGTTTTTGTAATTTACTCCTGAAGATGATCTTGGTAAAGATCGAAAGTACTTAGGCCACAAAAAAGTACGGCGTCTTCCTTAATGAATTTCATCTTAACATCAAGAAGCTGATTAGATCAGTATAAAAATAAGTAGACACAATATGTCTATATTAGTCAATGAAATATGTTTGAATGTAGGTATGCAGCCTAAACACACACACGCGCGCACACACACACACATACATATATTCAGGAATGGATTTTTCATTTATTAATCCGAAATATATTTTGTTTTATAGTTTAAACGTGATTTTCAGTGGATACCCATATTTGAATAGACGTCCCGTATATTTATTTATTAAACAATATATTTATTTTCGTTTCGTATATTTTTTTTCTTATGACATTTCTCGAATATTCAAGCTGGTAGATGGAAATAAATAAATATACTGTTTAATAAAGAAACAGAGCATCTACACAAATACAAATTATTTAAGTAAATGCTCTGTTTTTAATTATACAGCATTAATTACATTTAAAAACCTGAATATTCAAGAAATCTCATAGAAAATATGCGATCTCCGACAGGAATCGAACCTGTATCTCATACGGAAGCCTTCGTGCTGTTAACTTATTCAGCCAGGGAGGACACCCGGTTTAGTAAAGTTCAAATTTCTGCTTTTAAACACATATATTTGACGACTTTTATCGATAATTAATACTGTTTAATTAAAAAGAGAGCATTTACTCAAATCTAAGTTGTGTCCATAAAAATAACGTATAAGCAGAAAATACACTACGTGCCAAATTATTATCGAGATAATTTTTTTTATAATATTTCAAAAACCGTTCAACCAATTCACACAAAATTTTCAACCAATGTTGGCAACACTATTCTGCGCAATCACTGAGATTTTTGTACTGATCTGCGCAATGTAAACAAACTGGCGCCATATTTGTTATTAGCAAGGTCAGTGTTGCCAACATTGTGTGAAAATTTTGTGTGAATTGATTGGAGGCTTTTTGAAATATTAGAAAAAAAGTTATCTCGATAATAATTTGGCACGCAGTGTACATTAAAATATTTCTTGGTTTTAATCCGTTACATATAATCTACATATATAAAGTTGTAGCCTCTCTCTGTCTGTTTATTAACGAACTACACCTAGAGTCCCATAACCTACATTACACAGGGTACTTGGATAAGGATATGTCATTTGGATCAAAGAGAGTCCCCGCCCCATCCCACTGATTTTTTCCTCCTTGATAAAAATTAAATTTAAATTTGAACAACTGAATAAATCCAAGGGTACTTAGATAAATATATTTCATTTTGATCAAAGTGGTTCCCGGGGGGATACCCCATATTGAAATTTTTTTTTAACCCTTGGTTTAAATTAAATTTAAATTTGAATAAGGGAATGACTCCTACCCAAAATATAGAAGGAGAAAGACAGAATATGGAGGTTACATCAGCAAGATCATTGAGTAATATTGAAATGCATTATTTTTCTGCACGAATTATAACACTGATTTAAAATCAATCATCATTTTCTTACAAAAAAGAGTGACACGCAGCAAGGGGAGGGTAATTCCGCTCTCATATATATATATATATATATATATATATATATATATATATGGTAAAATTTAGCTTTAAGGTATGCTATATTTTATCAGTTAAAGTGGTCAATATCAGGGATAGAGCCTATGTAAATATAAAAGTGGACATTGTGGTGAACACCCATCAGTTTCATGCCTAAACGCAATCTTCAGGCCTGAAAAAATATAAAAAATATGCTTTGAATATTGCTTCAGGCATCTGGTCTGTTGCTTCTAAATATATATATATATATATATATATATATATATATATCTTGCAGAAGAAGCTGCAATGTTATTGGTCCTGGCCTAGCATCTCGGTTTCAGTCGCTTTCCAATCGCCGTAACGTAGATTCTCTGTGCCTTTTCTATAGATACTTTCATGGTAATTGTTCTGATGAACTTTCCCATTTGGTAGTTAAACTTCATGACTTTAAGCGCAATAAAGTTTGGCGGCAAGGTCTCACCTTTTTGCAACTGAAATGCCAAGCTGCTGACAGTTTATTCTCTCGCACTTCTTTCTTGTGTAACTCTTTTTCCGATCCATACTTTCCGGTCAATTATAACTTTTTTTTTTCTGATTTTTGAAAAAATATATGAATTGTGAATCATTATCTTCTGTCCTCTTAATTTCTGCTATTTTCTTATATTCTCTCACACTCAGTAACCACTTGCGTCTGAGTGGCTTTATTATCTTTCTTGGGGTGAAATAATTAAAAACACACACACACACCCATGCATTCTGATAATTAATATTCTGATGACGGAGAAATTATTTAATGATAAATCGAATGTTATTTGTTTCGTTTAATATTCAGGAAGTATTGACAATAAGCGCAAGAAAAGCGTTGGCTCCTTTTCTAAATACAATTTAATTATTTCCATCAGTTTTTTTGGGTGGGGTCTGGGAGGAATGGTGCATTCTTCTCTTTTATTTGAACTCAGTCGAAGTCATATTCCTCAACCCCGTGCTGTTGTTGACTGTGAATTTTATAATCAGAACTATGGCACACCATGGCTACATACGAACCGGTTCTGCCTTTAGATTCCGCCTTCTCCGAGACTGGTTGATCTACCATGGCTAGAGAGTACAGTCTGCCCGACTATTTTACCAGTACTTGAAACTATACGAGATGCATTTCCAAGAGCAACTTTGGCCGGGTATTATTTTTAGCACCGTTAACCATTAAGCTACCTGCACATGATTTTTCTTTCTTTTTTTTTTTTTTTGATTCGACCTCAGTCGAGATCATAGAATGTAAAACTATGTTCCGCAGTTACTTTTAAACCATAGAATCTTTTCATTGTCTGTTCAGCATGCGCTTCGCCAAAACAACACACCCAGTGTCCCATGCTCTTGAGAGCCAAATCAAACTTGCTATTTAACCCATAGCTGGGGAAGAAGTATTGGATTCATACTTTTAACAAGGGTATTTTTTTTTACTCGACGGAAATTTGAACACGGTTCACTGATTTCAGTTCCGAGCCGCTAACCTCTGCAGATTGACGACATGGAAATGTAATTTTCTTATCGGCATCAAGTGTGAAGCATAATATTCTTGATTATTGCTCTGGGGATGAACAAACCTCTACGCAATAGAACTAGGACTCGTCCAAATACATATATCCGGACGCCGAGAATCGTCAGTAGAAGGAGAGAAAAAATAGAGAGTTCGACATCTAGAGTAACTGCCTACTAGCGACTTCAGCAAGACTACGTCGCCTCCAAGCGACATTCTACTTCTTGATTGGGTGATCTTCACTCAATGCAATGAAGGCGTAACAATTATTTTTATTGAACTGGAGAAGGATTTCCCCCCCCAAAAAATGATCTTTAATAATTCGACCTTATTCACACATCAACATACACATGAGATGCACGCACACACACACATCCGAATCAATCATTCACATACAAACATCGATCATTTATTGCATTTCCTAAATAATCGTAGTAGTGTATTTATTTCTGTGAATTTTCTTATTCATTTTGTAGATGGGACAAAGACAAGACCTCAAAGGAGAAGGGTTACCGGGACAACTTTTATTCCATTCGGTGGACACCGTTGACATCGCATTTACTGGACAACCTGTTCCAAACATCTCCTTTGTCCATGCAATGTAATAAATCAGACGGAACAAGATTTCCGGTGAGAACAATATTCAATCATCAAATTCCTCGCTTCTTTTTTTCCCATTCATGACGAAATCGATTTTATTTTCTTCGTGTAAATTCAGTAAAAGGCGCTTTCATTGAACCCCAATGATTAGGTTGGGTCATAACTAATTTATCGAGACGCCATCACTTGATAGATTGTCAATCTGTGGCATTGACAATTCTGAGTTATTATCCACTACACCACCCGCACAGGCTACACTTTGCTTAATCAAGATGTTGCCATTCCATACTACATCAGATAGAAGATTGGGAATGAAACCCCCATCAATAACGCTATTGCTATTGGTCTTGAAAAACCTATTTTCCTGAAAAATTGTTTTAAGAGAAATATTTTATAAACTTCAACCGAAAGCAGTACCGACTGCTAAAATGTTTCCTTACAGAGAAACGGCTAATATTACCTTACCATTATCACTGAATATATAATAGCAAGTGGTGAAAAATGGGTTCCAAACAATGTTCAGCGCAAAAAGCAGTTTATTGGCAAGTATGAATCTCCTCAAAGCGGAACTCCATAGAAGAAAGGTAATGTCGTGTGTGCGGAGAAATCGTTGGGATATTATTCATTTAGAGGCCTTAAAACTCAATGAAACGTTAAATGCACATTTTTACATCCATCAGCTGCAACATGTCCTTAAAAGTTAAATCGAAATGCGTCCTGTGCTGATCACTAGTAAAAATGTTGTTTTCCGTCATGACTACGCATGACCGCAAATGCCACAGAATTTTTTTTTTCGAATTCTCCATATTTACATGAGCTTGCGGCAATCGATTATTAACTTTTCGATCGCTGCAAAGCGGGGAAATGTTTCTCTAATGAAAATTAGATTTAAGAGTTGGTTGAAAACTTTTCCCATCAAAACCTGTAGAATTTTACTTAAAAAGTATCGAAGAGCTCCTTGATAAGTTGTCAAGAAATCGTTCCAAATAATAGTAAATTTGTATCTGTCTATATCACTGGGTACGTGACCTTGTGGATAAAAACGTTAGATCCAGTGACTAGAGTTGGCCACAAAAGTGATGAACCAAAGAATTTGGAGAGTTGAATCAAAGGGAAATAACTCGGGCATCCGGAAGATGCATGGCACGTGGAACTAGAACAATCTACCCCGGTGGACGAAATAAAAGGTTTCTGTTTGAAATTCCAATCACCTTAAGAAGGCGGAAGCATACAATGGCGGAAACGTTTTGATTATGGCAATGAAGATGAGGATAACAGTTCGAATAATGTAAATAATGCGGGTAAATTTTTAATTGAATAAAATATAATTTTACCTTCGATTTTCAAGAATAAAGAAATAATTTTTAATAATACATTTTAATATTGGATAATTATTAATAAATATTTTTAATAATAAATAACTTTTTAATAACATTTAATACTAAATAAGAATAAAAATATGATAGGGATATAATAATAAGATAATATATATAATAAGAATATAATAAAATAGATGATATATAATAAGAATATGATATGAATATAAATATAATAATATATAAAATAATAGATATAACTTTAAAGTGCACAACGAACTTTATCCATATAAGAATATAATTAGAATATAATAACTTTCAAAAATTAAGAACTTTATAATAATATGATAAGCATATAATAATAATAAGATAATATATATACTATAATAAAATAATATACATATAAAGAATAATATAATATAATTAGAATATAATAAGAATATAATATCATATGATAAGAATATAAGATAATATATATAATAATATAATAAAGATAAGGATATAATAATAAGATAATATATATATAATAATAAGAATATATATAAAAATAATATACATATAATAAGAATATAATAAGAATATGATAAGCATAATAAGAATAAAAGATAATATATATAATATAAAGAATATAATATAATAAGAATATAATAAGAATATAATATGAAGAATATAATAAGAATATATATAAATATAAGAATATGATAGGCAATATAAGATAATATATATAATAATATAAGATAAGAATATAATAAGATAATATATAATAATATAAGAATAAGATAATATATATATATAAAAGAATATAATACAATATAATAAGAATATAATAAGAATATTATAAGAATATAATAAGAAATTATAAGAATAATAAATAAGAATTTTTAACTTTTAGTAATAAATAAGAATTAAGAACTAATTTTAAGAACTACATTGATAAAACTGGAAATTATTTATGGCTTAACATAACTCTTCTGATAATTCATTAGTTTTGACTTGTTTATTCGAAGAGTGTGTTTCTTAAATTCTGTTTGACTTAACCCAGTTTAGAAACGAAATGAACTTTTTATCAATATAGATGTTCAATGTCAAATGACCGTTACATACTATTAAGGGGAAGCAGATTTTTGGGAGTATTTCGTAGAAACGGTTCCAAAAAGTCAGAAGAAAAAAAAAGTACATGTATCATCCGGTAATCTTTAGTCTCAATATTTGTATACATCGCAGGTGTCGTTTGATTCGCTACAATAAGTAGCCTAGCGACTTACATGACTCAACGGCTTAAATACTGAACAAAACAAAAGTGTTTTATTTTTAAGTCTTAAGTGCAGAAATTTAAATTTTATGCAAAAAGCCAGACAATAAGTTGCTGACAAAAAAAGCAAACATATTTGCAGAAAGTTCTGTTTTCCATATGAAATGCTATTTGACTAACACTGATCTTTTTTTTTTTAATCTTTCCAGGGTCGGTGGGAAGGAACACCGCAGACACAAATTAAATTGCCTCTGCCGCCCATCCTACGTAAATGTCCTGTTGCTATTAACCACGACCACAAAGCGGTCATCGTGTGATCCACGATCTTCCATTATGAACTAACGGTTTAAAGCTACTAATAAAGAAAAAATCTCATCAGAATAGTATAAATCAAGGACGATTTATTATGAAGGAAGATATATATTAAGACGTAGATATTTATATGTTGGCCTCGTTGCAACTCTCCAAATCCTCCTGTGAGAGTAAAGATTTCATTTTTTTTTTTTTTTTGCCAGAGCTGCTTTCATGGTTTAAATAAATGCATATGACTGTTCTTTGTTATGTCTTTTTTCAATTTTTAACTCTTCATTTAGGTTAATATGAAGATATTGCTTCACTATGAATATCTTTCATGGTAATTGTTCAAATGAACTCTTCACTATGGTACCTAGACATTATAGATTTAAGCGCAGTACTAGAATGGTGTCAAAGTATCACCAATATAAAGTTGAGTTGGCGAGATGTAATTGTAAATTCTACTCTAACAGTTTCTTTTCTCGCACTTCTCGATTGTGGAACTCTCTTCCGGCTCCATCCTTTCACTCAACTTTCATCAATCTAAATGCAATGTCAATCGCTATATCATGTATTCCTGGTTACGCTTCTATTGTTCTCGCTCATTAGTAATGTATCTATTTTCTAATTCTTCTACACGCAGTAACACATTGTGTCAGTGGATTTACATCCTTCCTGGTTGGGGGGGGTCCAATAAAAAAAACAAAAACAAAAACGTGACAGATGAATGGCGATTTGAGGCAGAATCAAATTGGGAATGGGAAGCAGAAAAACTTGAGGAAGATAAGTGGTCCTTTGATAAAAAAAGAAAAACAAATATGTTTAAACAGATGGATGAATGCCTTGGGAGGATTGAACCTCGGAATCAAAAAAAGTTCTTAGAGGGACACATTTGGAACTGAAGATTTGAAAATCTTTTGGGAAGAAATAAGTTTGGGTTATTTAAAAAATGTACCCAGATTCGGTTATTTAAAAAATGTACCCAGTTTGGGTTATTTAAAATATCTACCCAGTTTGGGTTATTTTAAAAAATCTAAAAATTTAAAAAAATCTACCCATTTAAACAAAATCTAATTTCGAGATTTAAAAAAATCTATCCAGTTTCGTTATTTAAAAATCTACCAAGTTTGGGTTATTTCAAAAATTTAGCCAGTTTCGGTTATTTAAAAAATCTACCCAGTTTGGGTTATTTCAAAAATCTACCCAGTTTCGGTTATTTCAAAAATCTACCCAGTTTCGGTTATTTCAAAAATCTACCCAGTTTCGTTATTTAAAAAGTAAAATTTCTGCAAATGAAGTATTTCATTTGCTAGATAATGACAAACATTTCAGTCTGGTCTGGGCTGAGTTTTGTGATTCTTGCTGGTTAGGGCGTCTTCCTTCGTTGAAAATCGGCCCAGTTTTAATAAAACTAGACGGGTTCATTTGTTTGCGTTTGATTGCAAAAAACTACCCTGTTAGTTTTTGCTGGATTATTTAAAAATGTACCAAGATTCATTGAGTTATTTAAAAGAAAAATGTACCCAGTTTGGGTTTTCCCTTTTTAAAATATCTACCCAGTTTTAATATGGGTTAAAACGTTTTAAAAAATCTACCCAATTTGTCTGAAAGGATCGGCCTATTTAAAAATCTACCGTACCAGTTTCGGTTATTTCAAAAATCATTGTCCCAGTTTCATAAGTTCGTGATTTAAAAAATCTATCCAAACGTTTGCTTGTTATTTAAAAAATCTGTACCAAGTTTATAAACTCCAGGGTTTGTTTCAAAAAAGCAGACGTTTGTAGGCCAGTTTATATTACATTTTAGTTTTAACCAATTATTAGGTTGTCCCAAAAGTTCGTAAACACTTGAAAAATTTAATTTTTATGCCCAATCCAGCACACTCGAGATGGGGGTTCAGAAAGGGCAAGAGACACCGTCGGTTCCAAAACAAGATCGATTCGGCAAGAAAGTCAAGTTGTGCGTTTGGTGGAACTTTGAAGGAATCGTGCATTTTGAGTTGGTTCCGAATATTCGTGCCATCAGTGCCGAACTTTACTGTCAGCATCTGGAGCGGGTCTCCGAAAAGTTGAAGCAAAAGTACCCGGCTCTGATCAACCGAAAACGCGCTTTGATGCAGCAGGACAATGCCAAGCCACACACCGCCAGGAAGACCAAAGACAAGTTTGAAGAGCTGGACGGCGTTGAGGTTCTGCCACATCCAGTCTACAGTCCTGACTGTGCTCCATCAGATTACGGCCTTTTCCGCTCAATGCAACACTTTCTGAAGGGCCGCCGATTCGACTCGTTTGATGAAGTTGAGGAAACGTGTCAAGAATTCTTTGATTCGAAGCCGGCTGAATGGTACTTTCACCAGATCCGAAAGCTTGCAGATCGATGGCAAATGATGGTCTTTATTTTGAGGAATAATTTTTGTTGTTTTTGTTATTACTTGGCGAGTAAAATTTCAATTTTTTGCAAGTGATTACGAACTTTTGGGACAACCTAATATTTTCAATGAAATGAGGGGTTAGCTTTCATGATACGTTTGCATTAGTATAACATCCATGTTCATTTTTGTGAGTATGTATTTGTGAGAAACTTGCAAAAGAGACATGAAAAGTCCTATATGACATCGTTTTTCTCAATGTTTTTACATATCTTTTCAACTTATGAATGTTTTAATACTTACAGTTATCTTTTAATATATACGCCATCATTATAGATGTCAACTTTATAGACGCCATCTTTATAGACGCCATCTTTATAGACGCCATATTACATATGCATCACATATTATCACAACTCCTGTCCGAGTTATTTCTTTTCTATCTGTTTCCCCTTATAATCACGTTACTGAGATTATTTTCAGTGAGATATTTCTTTCATTTTTATTTCTCCTACGTTCTCCGTTTGGGCGACATTTATTCATAAAACACATCGCGTTACGACGAACTTCCTACTTCATAAAAATGATATTTATCCCAGCTTCACATCTATTAATGGAATTTCCAAGCTGCCCCTTCACATTGTTATTTTCTCTGCGAAACGAAGAAAAAAGAAAACATAGTACAAGAAAGATGTACCTTTTATTTGCGTTATTACAGTTATAAGTAATACGTCTATCTCAGTTTGTTCATATCTATCTATCTATCTATCTATCTATCTATCTATCTATCTATCTATCTATCTATCTATCTATCTAATCCTGTCTATTCATATCTATCTATCTATCTATCTATCTATCTATCTATCTATCTATCATTAGTTATTATTTTTGTACCTTATTTACAAATATTAGCAATTTTTCTTTAGAAAAATTCTAAGTATTTGATTTTTTATTTATGTCCTTGTGCACATCATGAAGCTAAATATGTTTTAATATGAAAAAGTAAAACATATCACCTGGAAATGCGACATATTTATAATCTACAGTATTTGAAATTTATTTAAATGTCTATCAACGGATATTAAAATAGGCATCTTCGCTGAATTTTCGAAACCTAAGATTTAAAATGATTATTGTTTTCGTTTTACTTTTAAGTGAAAGCTAAATGATTAAATTTACTATTTCCAGTAAGCAAAATACTCTGGGGTATTTCAAATAGAAATTATATTGTTTGGAAATTCATCTTTTTGGTCGATTTCACAAAATCGCCCATTTTTGACACGTTTTGGCACATTTGTAAACAAAAGTTAATTCTCGGTTTTAAAAATGTCCCCAAAATAAAATATAATTTTCCGAAACTTTATTTGAGGAATATTAGCTGATGTAAAGTATAATTAATCTGATCGGAAAAAAAAAATTACTTTAAGTATAAATAACAGAGAAATGGATTTTTAAAACAAACCGTAGAGCTGATAACGCGCGTATCACCGTCGCTTGTCACTCGTAGATCACTTGACAAACGATGGTAAAATCTGTCAACAACTTGACTATTGTTCTACGGAGGTTTTATCTATTAAAACATAATTTTAAAAAATGACGAGTGAGCTTTTTTATATAATTTTTAAGTACTCAGTAATCTTAAAAATGATGGAAAATATTTTCCGTAATCTAATTTTAAGAATATTGAAATTAAATTTAGTACAGTCATCACTCTTATTTTCTGATTATGTGCTGTATGGATGGATATACTTTCAAACAGGAGTAATATTTTATGTACATAAAAAATTAATGATGTCTTTTAAAATATTGGATGTAAACGACTTTTATTAAACTTTTCATTTTTTGATTTGTAAACATAATTATCACCTAACCAAATTGAAGTAATGCAGACTTTTGAACGATTTATGATATTATAAATTGTTATAATTAAAATTTTGAAAAACAAAACAATTCTTGTAAAAATTCATTATTCACCGGGAAAAAAAAGTTTCGTAAGACAATAGTGTCCTTAATAAATCTCATTTATACAAGCATTTAAAAGATTTTCTAATTAAATAATGTCATAGTTTATTGCATTTTTTATTTTAAGATTCGGAGCAGAATTTCGGGAAATGAGTCGTAGTTTGAAAAAACAAAATAATGGTTAGCATTCACCAAGGAATCCCGCTTTTAACTAATAAAACAAATTTTGAGATTTTAATTAAATTTCCCGAAATTTCATGAAATTAAGTAAGTGGAGGTGGGTAATATACGTAAAAAAAAAAAAAAAGAAAACGTATTTTCACCAAGATTTTCTAAGATTAATTCCATTTAATTGTGAATACATCCTGAAAGTTTCATTCAAACCCGACAATTATTTAAATTTTTCAAGAATTTCCAACTCAATGTGTTTTTCACCGAAAAAAAAATCGAAAAACACTAATCATAAATCAATGCAGATCGCTGACGTAACCCCCCCCCAAAAAAAAAACAAGATTTTTAAACAAAATTTCAAACGGGGTAGAAAGGATTAAAAAATTTAATAAAATAATAAAAAAAATACTTTGGTCTTTCCTCTTAATAATAATAAACATTTTGACGGTAAAACATTTTTATTAAGTTTTAGGACATTTTTATCACACTATATTGTTTTTCAGCGAGCAAGTACCTAATATGCCTAACTTTGATGATTAAATTCAATCCTTAAACAAATGAATGCTTTGTTGATTGACTGGATTGTTTTTACGGTTTATCAACCCTTTTCAGGCTATTTACAGTCTTAAATTAATTTTAGATAATAAGAACATTTCTTTTAGATAATTATGTTTTAGCGATAAAAGTCTTACTAATTAACCCATAGTAGGGGGAGAAAAGATGGATTCATACCTTTTCCAAAAGGTATTTGCGCGTAAGTGAACATAACGAGCCCAACTGGAATTGGAACTCGGCTCCCTGGTTAACAATTCCGAGCCATTATCCATTGCATCACTCGCACATATAAGTTTATAGAATTTGGTATGCCCAAGCGGTCATCCATCTTGACACTGACCAGGCTCGACGTCCCTTAACTGTCTGTGATCGTACGGGAACCTGTGTCTTAACGCTAATTGACCATAAGCCTGGGATGCGTTGTGTCCTTGAGATCACACCAATACGAAATTATAAGAAAGAAATGTTTTCTATTATAATGAATGAGTCAAAATACTTGAAAATATTCTTTGTTTAACCGTATCATCTCAAGGAAGGCGATAATGCCACTAAGACGAAGGATGTTAAGAAAAAAACGTTAGTGTGACGAAAGGACAATAAAAGAACAAGCTTTAGGAAACAGATGTCGACTGACGTTGCATTTATATTTTTGAAGATTATAGGGAGAAGGCGGGTATTAAAAAAACGATAGTGAATTCCACAGGCGAGCAGAACGAGAGAAGAAACTATTTGAATAGGACTTACGGTTACATGTAGCTATTTTTTAACAGTAAAATGGTGAGAGCGAGTAGAACGTTTTCATTTGGATATGTTTTCAAAGTAATATCCTTATATATATATATATATATATATATATATATCATAATTAAGTAATTCATCGAATCCAGAAAAATCTTAAACAGAACGCAGAAAGCACTATATATATATATATATATATATATATATATATATATATATATATATATATATATGCAGTGAAGAAACGGTCGTCCAGTGCTTTCTGCATTATTTGAAGATTATTCTGTGCTCGATGAATTACTTAATTATGATTACTCTAAATCCCCAGCCGTTTTCTCCTATTTGGGACGCATTAGCAGTGCGCAACCACGGTACACTACCACAAGAGCCACGTCTGCTTATTGACCCTTAGCCGCTCCTCACAAGCATTAGCTGGGTCAAGCTAGGATATACAGTGAAGAAATTTTGGGGGATTTAGAGTAATCATAATTAAGTAATTCATCGAGCCTAGAATAATCTTCAAAGAATGCAGAAAGCACTGGACGACCGTTTCTTCACTGCATATATATATATATATATATATATATATATATATATATATATGTATTATTTTATTTTAAGTATTCTACTTTTGCTCTACTTAGTGCATTGAGCACCATTAACTCTGTGGATGTTTTTTCTTTTGACTAGACATTGTGGTGCTTATTGATTATTTTCAACCAGCACGGATGTTTTTAGTCTTTTCTTTTTTTATTGATTTTTGTCCCAGTTATCAGTTTGCCTAATATTTTGTTTACAAATTACATCATCGGGTTTTTTTCCACCGCCAGACTTATAGTATAGTTATAAAGATAAAACAAAAATAATATATATATATATATATATATATATATATATATATATATATATATATATAAGTATAGGATTGGTGCATACGGAATAAATTACAATAACCAACAAATACTATTCTTAAAAGAGTGCTCAGTACAGAGTAGAAACAAATATAATTTATTCGAAAATTATAACATAAATAAGTTATAAAATCACTACAAAAATAGCCATTTTGTTTCAACACTTCTGGTGTCTTATCAACTGATGGTTTTCACTTCATAATGTACCAGAAGTGTTGAAACAAAATGGCTATTTTTGTAGTGATTTTATAACATATTTATGTTATAATTTTCGAATAAATTATATATATACACACACACACACACACACACACACACACACACACACACACACATATATATATATATATATCCCTACGTGTAATGCAAAATAAAGAATAAAAATTACCTGATAATCAACAATTGATTAAGGAATTAGTGGATGATGTAAATAAAAAAAGAAATATAAAACAGATTAAACACTGTGTTGATTAAGTAAGAAACGCATTTATCTTGAGGCTTCAGTAATCACAGATGGGGTCCTACAGGAGGAGGATGAGAATTCCATGGACGGAGCATCTAAATAACGATTTAAGCTTAAGGAAAAGGGAAATAAATAGAACACTTTACTCTGGGATCCATTATGAGGAAGGATGGTTTGGAGAATTTGACACTCACAGGATATATTGAAGGCAAGTGAGGTAGGGAGAAAAAGCGAGTAACCTCCCGAACAAGCTTTTGTCAATGGATTTCAGAACAGGGAGTGGGAAGGATGATGAAAAGGCAAACCTTATTAAGAGCTATAAAGGATAGGAATGTTGTGGAGAGCCATGATCGACTACGTCCTGAAGGGAAACGGCATATAGATGATAATGATGATGCTGTTATATCATCAACACGTTCCTTTTTTACTCTTAATATATATGTATGTGCGTGAGTGTATTTATACGTCTGCCTCCGTAGGAGTGTATGTATATGAGTGTATGCGTGTATGCGGGGATTGAGAGAGAGAGAGAGAGAGAGAGAGAGACAGACAGACAGACAGACAGACAGAGCACGCGCGTGTATTTGTTTATATGAGCGCAGCGTTGGAGCAAAACTAAATAGCATGATCGTGATTGAGCACACCCACACCCCTAATCCAGCAAAATAAAAAAAAATAGTGGTGGACAGTCGTGTGGGCGTCTGGTTTGCTTCATCTTCTGTTGTCACTTGACTAAAATCTTGGAAGGATTGGTCGTTCCGTCGTTGTCGTCTGTGACGTCTGGCGCGTCACCTATGCCTTCGTCCACATCGACTCAACCAGTCACTAACATAAACGGTAAATATGTCACGCAGATTGAGCATGATGGTCGACAAACAAAACTAATGTTTGAGTCTAATTTACCCTGATTTTTTTTGTTTAATTATCTCTCTTTCTCTCTTTTTTATATACACGGTCGTGTTCAAATAGTTTCAATAATTGAAAACGCCCGCCTCCAAGATGATTCCAGTCAGAAAACAAAGTTAATGAGAATTACCTTCTTTTATTTTTGTTTCATTGTTTTCTTCTTACATACCTGT